AAAAAATAAGTTAATGGATTGGATTAAATCCATCCATTTATATACATGGATTGATTCAATCCATCCAACATATTTTAAGGATCCAATGGATTATTTTTATTTTTGTTAGATATATATTTTTTTTAAAATAATAAAAAATGGATTTTTTTAAAGAAAAGAATTGATTTTTTTCCTACAAAAAAATGGATTTTTTTCGAAAAAAATGATTTTTTTTCCAAAATAAAAAACCAATTTTTTTCTAAAAAAACCGGTTTTTTTTTGAAAAAGAAAAGCATATTTTCTTCTCGAAAAAAATCAATTTTTTTTAGAAAAAAAATGATTTTTTTAAAAAATTAAAATATCGATTTTTTGGAAAATACAAAAAATTCAGATTTTCCCAAAAAAAAAAACGATTTTTTTTATAAAATAAAAATATCAAATTTTTTTCTTGAAAATAAAATGATTTTTTTAAAACAAAAAATTCAATTTTTCATGAATATATTAAAAAACAAATTTTTTAAATACAAAAATTGAATTTTTCGAAAATAAAATAAAATCGATTTTTTAAAAAATAAAAGAAAATGTTTGTTTTTTCGAAATAAAAAAAAAAGTTGGATGGATGGATATTCATCCATTAAAAATATGTTAATGGATGGATTGGATGAATTTTATTCTTAACGGATGGATTAGTTTGGATAATTTTAAGAAAACTATAGTGGATTGTTAATGGATTAATAGATTGTTTTGATCCATCCATTAACAATCCAATCCATCCATTTTGCCACCCCGACTCTAAAGTAGCTCCTCGAAGCTTCTTTTCGTTTTATTTTCTGTCTTCAAATATTCATACAAACAAGAGTGTAAGTAACTTTCTTAAATAGAAAGTGAAAAAAATATTTTATGACATAAGACATACTCATAGCTTTAACTCAACTCTGATCTTGTGTTTTTATTCTTTTATGTTTTAATGATATATAAATTTTCATCTTGTTTTTATTTGTCACAACAAATCGTTTGTAAGAAGCAGGAGAAAATGGAAGCAATAAGATTGATAAAGAAAAGACAACCCAAAAGGAATCAAAGTTTTTTCATGAACTTGTCTTTAGTATTGTTTAAAAATTCTTGTTGTGCTTCTTACTATGATATTGCTTATCAGAAATTTTAGATCTAGTGCTTATGAATGTTATACCAATTAAGTGTATACAGACATAGTAGACAGTAGAGATCAATATATAATAATATTGTTGTTTGAGTGTTACTTTGTACTAGAAAACTATAATTTTCATTGAAGATTTTCATTCGTTATATTTTGTTTGTTGATAGATATGCAATTAAATTGATTATTGGTCTTTTTGGATTCGACATCTTTTGTATTACTTTGATAAAATCTATGCACTTGCGGATAAGCTAACCACATGAAGCACATCAATATATTACATTTCCCTCCCTTGAAAGATGCTTATATTACACTATCTTCCCATCTTATGTTTTTTTTGTTGTCTTATAGCCAAGTGGAAATAATTTCACCCCTTAATAGGGAATAATTAGGATGTCGTTATTTTAAATTCACTCACATACAATAAACACTACTTAAGGATTCTTCTTTCTTTTGTCTGCAAATCTCACCCAAACTGTTGAAGGTTTTAGGGGGCTTGATTCCAATATTTTGGGTGAATGTACCCCATTGAATTCCTAAACTTAACAAGTACTTTTTCATGTCATTGTTGGTGCCCTTGACTAGTATCACTTCTACGTTGAATCTCTTGGTGTAGGATCGTATCGACTTGTATTTTTCTTGTCTAACGAATCTCATACTTTCCACTGGCTTTAGTTGATTTCTTGACATCATGAAATGCAAGAAAGATATCTCATTCTAGTTCCAATACTTTGATCAAATTTGGACCTCGTGAAGTACTTGCTTTCCGTACACTTGGCGGCGTTGAGAAGGAAACTCATGTTAGTGGAAAATTTGAGATCCATCAGACAAGGGAAATGAGAGTCACTATGATCCTAAATTTAGACATTACACGGTGAATAAATATTAGTCATGGATGCTGACGAAAAGATGAAGAAGTACATGTTAAGTCTACAACCTTAACAATGGTAAAAAATGGCCAAAAGTATTGCAATCAGGTCCATAATACCTTTAACGACCTACTTGAAAGGGCCAAAAATCTCATACAACATGAGGTGAATTTGGTTCTTAGTAAGGCAAATTATGATAAAGGGTTTGAGACAGAAGAAACAAGTAGAAGGATAAACGAAGAAATCAAACAAGAAAACAAAAAGAGGGGGAAAAGCTAAGAAATATTCACTAACATAATATATTTTACATAATACAGAAGAAGAACGTATATTTTAACACAATAAAAGAGGGTAATGTAATATAAATATCTATTAGGAGAGAGAAATGTAATTTAATTTACATAAGAGACGAGATGAAGGTAGATTTTATCACAAGAGAAGGGAATAGTGTAATATATGGGTGTGCAAAAAAATCGGTTATTGTTAACCAAATTTGTATCCAAATTGTTCCACTTTTAAAAATCCAAACCAAATGCTAAAATATAAATTTGGTTATCCATTTTGTTATCCAAATATAAACCGGTTTCCATGTGGTTTATCCATGGGTTATCCAAATTTCATTATTTATTAAATTAATATTTTTTTGTCTCTTTTCATGTTTTATCATATACACGTTATAAATTAATTTTATATTTTAAACCAAAAGATTCAAAATTTTGTATTTCAAAATGAAAAAAAAATTGTTTACAAATTCTCTAACTATCTAAAATGGTGTATTAATACTTCACAAATTATATGGACTTTTATCAGTTAATTATATGAACTTTCAGTAATTAATTATATAGATCTTAGTGCATCGAGTTTGATTTGGCATGTGCAAGAAAATATACCAAAACTTGACTTGTTGGATTTGACTCTAGTTTTCATTTATAAATCTCGAAGTTCATTAAAGCTTTATGAAAAAATAATTATAAATATTATAGATTTCTCCACCAATAGATAGGGGTTCTGAAATATACAAATATATGTATTATAAATATTAGTTATCATTTTAAGTCCATATAATTTGCTGAAATTTTTTATTTTCAATTTTATTTTTAATTTTTTAAATTTTTAAATTTTTTTTAAAAAAAAGTTTATATTTATTTTCAAAGGAAAAATATATTTAAATCTAAGTATTTAAATTTAAAAATTGATATAATTTTTAAAAAAATAAATTTAAATTTAACTAAATAATTTGGGTTAAAATTAAAATCCATTTAGAACCGGTTTTAAACTGGTTTAGAACAAGTGGTTTGGTTTATAAACCATAACCATAAAAATGGATTGGTTCATATTAAATGGCTATCCATGCATAGGTGGATATGACATTCATATCACAGGTACAACTTGGACCAAATGAAGCATCAGAGGTTGAAAATGTCTCTTGCAGTATTCACTGCTCTCAGCATCCGTGTTGCAGTTCCTGTCTTTGCAATAATAATTTGGTGTATTTGGAAATCCTAGACTAACATTGATTTTAAAGATGGTTGTCTTATTACTTTGACTGTATTCATGTTTAATTTTCTATATGGATTTTTCATATATGTAATAATCAATTTTTCTGTACTGCCAAATACTCGTGCTTGAATATTTTCATTTCTTAATACAAAACATAGAATTAAAATGTTTCGGGTGGTTTATCAATTATTTAATAGTTTGCAATAAAATTGATTTTTAAAAAAAATTGATTTTAAAACTGATTTCTTTAAAGAAAATAAAAACTGGTTTTAAGAAAAACCGATTTAAAACTGGTTTTTAAAAAAACTATTTTTTTTTAAAACCGATTTGAAACTGAACCAATCCATTTGTAAACCGATTTTAAAAAAATAAACCGGTTTTAAGATCTAAACTAAATCATATATGTGGTTTGGTTTAGTTTATAATTCATACACACCCCAGTATAATACGAGTATCTATTTATGTTGAGAGGAGTATACTTTACTCTGAATTATAAAATTAAGTGAAGAACATATGGCAAGCTCGGATTGAGCCACGTTCCCCTTCCGTTAATGAACTTTATTTTAAGGTAAGCTGCAAAACCAATCATGGATAAAATCCAAATAATAAAACTTACAAACTAAAACAAAAAATATCTAAACTTGCCTAACTAAACGCCTGTTTAAATCTAAATACAATGAGTGATGTGAGCTTAAGAAAGAAAACAATATGATTGATCCTAGAAGAGGCATAAATTCTCATTACCAATAGTAAGCATATTGTATATATAAATTGATTCTTTATATGAAGACCAAACTTTGCATCTACCATTAATATATGAAAATGAAAATGAAAACTACTAGGTTAAAGCAAATTCTGATTCTTCTTTTTTTCCCCTTCAAATTGTAACAGAAGCCAGATTTTGACAGAGGCAGACCACACAAAGTCAGATACTATGCTCTGCCTAAAGACATATGTATGCTCTCTTATTGGTACCAATAATATATGCTCTTTTCTGAACATTGACAGATTATAATATTTATGGCATGATAGACTGACCTATAAAGAATATGTCCTCAAACATCATACATCAACTTTAGTAAAGGAACCTTTGGATGACTGTTTATTAAACGCGATTTTGCATAAACGTTAAAATATAGATCGTTTAATCTCAATCCAATGATTATTGGTGTGATTGTTTGCATGACCACGTATAAACTGAATCCATCAAAATAGATTGATGGATTTTGTTTGTGCGTGGTCATTAGAGAAAAATCAGTTTTGGTATCTCCGTCTTGCATCCAAACATGCAGTAAATTTTGTTTGAAGCCTTTCATAATGATTAATGGTTTTAGCTCTTTAATAAAAAGAGCTCAAAGAAATAATCAATACATCATTACATTACTAACAAGTTTTCAACACCAAACAAACTTATGCAAGCTTGAAATTTCCATCTCCACACACACACTACAACAAACAACAAAGAAGACATTTTTCGAAGGATTTCGCTTCAAACATCATCGTAGGTGTCTTCCCGTATTCAAAGGCGAAGCCCTCATGCTCTTGGAATGTGCATACGTGATATGCGGAGTTCCGTCTGGTTTCTTCTTTCTTCTCCCTTGTTGAGATAAACGAGAGTGATATGACAAGATTGCAAAGTCGTTAAGATCCTGCAGTGGTGTCAGAGCATTCACAACTTCGTCCATGTTAGGACGGCATTTAGGGTCTCTACTGAGACAACCATAAGCTAACTGAGAAATTTTCTGTACTGCTTTTAAGGAATAGTTTAGTTCCAAGCGAGGATCGACGAGTTGGTAAAGTTTTCGCTTGTCTGCTAAATATGGTCTGGCCCATGAAACAAGATTCTGTTCCCCACTCGGACGTTTCTTGTCCATTGATCTCCGTCCTGTTAAAATCTCGAGTAACACAACTCCAAAGCTATAAACATCGCTCTTCGCAGTCAAGTGTCCTGGTGAAAACACAAACGGAAAATCACATAATTGGTTAATCCTATTATGCTATGGCATTTTCTTGTTCTTCGAAGCTATTTACTGCTATGTTTTTACCTGTCATGACATATTCTGGTGCAGCATAGCCATAAGTTCCAACAACTCTGGTGGAAACATGTGTCTTGTCTCCTTGAGGACCTGCTTTCGCAAGACCGAAATCTGAAAGCTTCGCATTATACTCCTGTAAAACATAATACATTAGAAATTAATCAAAAAAAAAAGAGATACTTCCTTTTTAAAATCTGATATCGCGTATAGCACATACCGTATCGAGCAAAATGTTTGATGTTTTGAAATCTCTGTAAATGACTGGTTCTGGACCATTATGTAGGAAAGCTAATCCTTTAGCAGCACCAAGTGCAATCTTCACCCTATTGGACCATGGCAGCGGTACCGTTCCTTCAAAACGTATCAGAATTTTTTTATTGTGAGAGAGGATGAAGACGAAATGGATCAAAACCAAACAATTAGTTGTGATCAAGTTAAGGGAAAAACTCACTTCTAAATAGATGATTTTCGAGACTTCCGCGAGTCATAAACTCGTAAACAAGAAGCCGCTGATCATCTTCAATGCAGTAACCAATAAGTTTCACAAGGTTAGGATGGTGAAGCTGTCCAAGAAAATCAACTTCAGCCTGCAATAACCAAAATGCAATGTCACGTTATGTTGCATCCAAATCTCCAACATGTCTTACGCAATTTTTTTCCGATATCAATCTACCTAGTACTAACCAACAACATATATTTTACTAACCACCCATTCTCTATGACCCTGAAGTCCATCTGGCTTCAAGCTCTTAACAGCTACTGTAACCCCTGAGCCAGGTTTCGCCGGGGCGGTTCCACCTTCCTCAATCCATCCTTTGAAAACATAACCGAAACCCCCCTCCCCGAGAATGCTGTCGGGTCTGAAATTCCCGGTCGCAGATTTTAGCTCTTGAAATGTGAATTGAAGAAGCTGACAAGGAGCCTTATTTTCCTGAGGTGGTGGGGGGTCAGGATTATCAGAAGACAGCCTAACTTCATTCGGAGGACAGAGTTCGCGATTGCTAGCATTCAGATATCGCGTCTCAGTTGCTGCATCAATCAATAGTAAGAACATGAATCCTTCCATCTTAGAATTTTAACTTTTTGTAAAAACTCAGTTCCAGAGTAAACATACACAAAAAAAACACAAACACGAAATCCCTGATAACAAAGTTGGGCCAATTGTGCTTACCTCTCCGATTGCAGTGACGACGCAATACTTTTATAGCATTTAAGCTTTGGATTTTCTATTATCAGCAAACTATGACTAATACCAAACAGGATCTTCTAACTTATTTGAAGAAAAAACACAATTTCAACAAACCCAATTGAATGAAAAATGATAACCAAGAACGAGTTCTTAGAAAGCAGGGCCAAAAAGCATTAAAAAAATTATCTTTTTGACAAAGCAATTCATAAATGTTTCACAATTTCGCAAACCCAGAATCAAAAATTGTTTCAAAAAACATGATCAAGACTAACAAGAATTTCATTCAGAAAAACAAGAGACAAGTGAACCTTTTTTGCGACACTAGCATTATACTATTATTCCACGATATTCAACAAAAACACAATAGAAAAAAGAACAAAACCTGCATCATGAACGAGACTAGTACGAGGTATAGTGTTAGGAGATTGTCTAGAAGCAGAGGGTTTACAAACACCACGTTTGAGTACAGACCAACAGCCACACTTGTTGTTCTCCATCTCCATGTTGTTTGTTGGGTTTGTTGAGGTGGTTTCAAAGGTTCATCATGGTGTTGTTGGATTTGCAGAGAGAATGAGCATGAGCATGAGCGGAAAGGTGGAAGAGAGAGTGGTGTTGGTGTATGAAATTGCAGGCAAGAGGCATCATGATCGCCATCATCGCAGTGTGTACAAAAAGAACTTTTTTGCTACCACCTTTTTGTGTTGTGGGGTGGGAATTTTCACACTTTCTCTTTCTTTTTTTTAACCTCTTGCTTGCTCCAATTTACCAAAAAAACATAAAATCTCATGTTGTCTAGTAAAGTTTTAGCATTTTTACTAGTTTTCACTATGTCTTTTTCACTACAATTATTCATCCCTTTCAAATGATATTTTTTAATTTTTATATTTGAAAATTTAATATCTGACATTAAGATCGACTATTTCAAAAATATCAATTACACTCTCTATTAGTGAATGATTATTTTAAATCAGAGTAAAATTTGACTTTGAGAGGAACACAACTTTCGAATTTCAAACATTCCTATCAATTTAGGAATTCTCATATGAATTATATCATGACATCACCGTTAAAATAGTTTTGTGCTCTATAAGATGCTCTCATGTTCACTTTTTAAAACATACAAACTTAAAAAAATAAATATTCAAAATAATTTTCTTTAAATGTGAAATAATGTCTTTCCATTTGATGACATGTTGGTTAGTTAGTGAATATGTGAAAGTCTTAGGAGGACATTTATGATAGATAATTAAGTCTTTTAAACATGTAATTATGGGTTGGATTTTTAACAAATGTGCATGGAAGGATTTTTGTTTTTGTTTTGAGAAGTATTAATCACTTAAATGGATTTTTGTATAAATGATTGATTTTTAGATTTTGTTCGAAGATGACATGCGCGGCAAAAATTTCTAATTATAGAATAATAAATACTCTCTCTTCTTTATTATAAGAAGAAAAAAATCAATTTTTAAATAATCGATATATTTCATCCATTTTTAGTCAAGAAACATTGGTTATTCAATCTATCTTAGAAGTTAATTTTTCTTATAATAAGGTTTAGAGAGAGTATTAAAACTATAGAAGAATAAAATGAAGAGCAATAAGTTTTTCAATGTCTTTTTTCTTCCCACTCTAACTAATGTGATTCTATTGTTTGTATATGGTAGAATAAGATATTTTTAATAAAATAACTAAACAATGGAATGCGATCTATATTCCATTATGCTCTGCTCCATGTAACGCCTCAGATTACTTCCATCCTAAAATTTCTCCAAATCAAACACGCTTAAGTGTGGAGTTCTTATGGAATGAACTACTGAAAAGAAGAAGATGCATCTTAATGGTATAGGTAATACCAATTAATCCTTATAAACCTTTCTTCCACCATGCAGTATCATTCCTGCACAACTTCAGGATACCTCTCATTCTGATGTGAATTTGGTTTCTTTATAAGAAGCTGTTAAGAGTGTCTCATTATGCACCGACAACCACTCCCTTGCCAAGCTACTAGGAGTGTCTCATTGTCATGCCTCGTGCACTAACAACCATTCCCTCGCCCTCAGGTGTTTCCATGTAACCACTTTCCTCCCTCTTTGGCCTCGGGTGTTACATGTCCACCAACCTCCGCTTGGTTCGTCCCCAAACCACATCGTACTAGAGAGGTCTGGCTCTATTACCATTTGTAACACCCCCAAACTGCTTTTAGGATTACTGACTGACCCCACAAACCAACACAGGTCTTTTCAACATGATTTATCCTCACTCATACGCTTTTCGAGAAACTTCTCAGAAGGCCACACATCCCAAAATTGCTCCAAATCAAGCACGTTTAACTTTGGAGTTCTTATGAAACGGGCTACCGAAAAGAAGATGCATCTTATTGGTATAGGTAGTACCAATTAATCCTTATAAGCTTTCCTTCCACCATGCAGTCCCATACCTGCACAGCCTCAGGATCCCTCTCATTCCGTTGTGAATTCGGTTTTTTTCCTAGAAGCTTCTAGGAGTGTCTCATTCTCATGCCTTGTGCACCGACAATCACTCCCTCGCCAAGCTGCTAGGAGTGTCTCATTGTCATGCCTCGTGCACCGACAACCATTCCCTCGCTCTCGAGTGTTTACATGTAACCACTTTCCTCCCTCTTTGGCCTCAGATGTTACACTTCATTCTGCTCTGCTATGTTGTATTTCATTATTATCCATTAATTTAAACATAGTCTTTGTAACACCCCCTTTCTATACCCCAAAAAGAATACTTAGACCATTTAGGCACTTAATAAAATTCCATCAGAGTATAATTATAACATGGTATAAAAGAGGCGCATCACATTATCAACGAAATGAAACATAAATAATACCTGCTCATAAAGATATGTAACAAAAGGGGTAAATCTCAACTAAAAACAAAGCATAGCGCTTAAAACCCACATATCAATATTTAGAATAAAGCAGAAACATCTAAACATTGAAATCATTTCATTGATATAAGCATCATATACATCATTCAGATTAATTCAATTCATCAGTTAAGTTTACAAAACATTCAACAGCAGATACATACGCAGATGTATCACAAAAGAATCAAAACAATTCCTAACTACCCAGTGTTACATATCAGAGCCACCTGACCAAAAAGAATGAAGACTCGCTTCACAAAAAAACCTCCAGCAACCTACTCTGCAATGCCTCATAGAGCATCATAAAACAACAGAAGGGTGAGAAACAATATCATAATAATCAATGCATATAATTATATATCTATATACATACATGGGATATACACAATTCAAGTTCTCACCACATCTCATCACAATTCATCATATACATCACAATTCATATTCACACAATCAAGCATATTCATTAAATCATGCTTCTATACATACTCATCATTTTCCACATAAACGTCTACCATTATGTTCAATTCACTCAATGCATCATATAAAGATGATCAATGCAACTCATAAAGACCAACTCACGACTCTATGCAGATGCAATTGCGGTACCGACTAAATCCAGTAGATTCTCCAAGGAATCAAGTATTCAGCAGATTCTCCAAGGAATCAAATATTTATCAGATTCTCCGAGGAATCGAATATTCATCAGATTCTCCGAGGAATCAAATATTCATCAGATTCTCCGAGGAATCAAATATTCATCAGAATCTCCGAGGAATCGAATATTCAGCAGATTCTCCGAGGAATCAAATATTACAACAAATTCTCCAAGGAATCACATTGCTAGAATGTACATCATGATGCCTTTATGCAAAATGACTCACAACATTTCTCTACATGCATACATATTCGCAAATATATCACTATGCATATTCATCTCATACAGGTACATACAATCTATGTACATTCACAATATACATATACTCCATAATATATATACTCTTCATTTCAACACATACCATTCCATATAAGGTATATACTTTCACAATCAAAATTCCACATTCAATGATTCACGCCTTGCGGCTACCCACAGTGAAACGTATCACACGGCACACAAAACTATTCAATTCGATAAGGACTAATCATAAACGAACAAGGAAATCCGCATGGAAAGGAAAAACACAGAGAACAGGAAAATGCTGTCGCATTCGCCAACCTTCGCCTGGCAAAGCCCCTAGGGAACCTTCGCTACTTCGTTTGCCTGACGAACTTGCCAGCGAAGACCACTGGGAGTTATTCTGGAATTACTCGCTAGCACTCACTAGCACACTTGCCTAGCGAACCTGCGCTACACTCATTTTCTTGGCGAACTTGCCAGCGAAGACAGGGTGTTTGCTACTGACTTGGTTCGCTGCTGCTCGCCGGGCTTCGCCTGGCGAAGCTTCGCTGCCATTTGCCTGGTGAACCTGCAAACTCAGAACTCCCATGGCTGTCCAAAAGCCCAAACTCACAAACCGACCGATTCAAAAACCAAACAACTCCAGTAGACTTAGCCCAATGTTACCCGACTAATCCACTTCGTCCATTCTTGATTCTAACCGATTAAAAACACCATTCTACCGAATAAATCTTAAAATGCCCTAAATTGAAAAAGATGAGGAAAACTCTCCCCAATCCAAAATCAAACCAACAAAAACATACATAATCATACACATTAACAGTATAATAAAGTTTCACACCCTTACCCGATCGATTAAAAGCTTGGTAGTTGATCTTGAAGAAATTCTAGGTTTTCCTCTTCTTTCTCCTCTTTCTCTTCTCTCTTCTTTCTTTCTCTTGTTTTTCCACTAATGATTCTATCTTTCTCTTTTTCTCTCTTATCTCATATTATATTTTCTTTCCTCTTCATTTCCTTCCAAACACTTACCAAATACTTCTCACAAATAATTCACTTACATCTAATGCTAATGTCTAAAATACCCTCTAATCTATTTTCCCGAAAACCCTCCGAATCGGAAAAAATAGCACAACAAGCAAACATAACACATTAACACATAAATTTCACAATTCAAAACAAATATCAATCAAATAAATTAAAAGACTCAATAAAATAATGGGAATTCAGAACTTGGGGCGTTACAACTCTCCCACACTTTAGAAATTTTCGTCCTTGAAAATATTACCTGATCCAAATAACTCCGGATGCGACTCTCGCATCTTGCTCTCCAATTCCCAAGTCATATTGCCTTCTGCAGCACCTCCCCACGCTACCTTCACAAGCGCAATATCCTTTCCTCTTAGCTTCTTAACTTCACGATCCAAAATCCTAATCGGTAAAACCTCAACCGTAAGGTTATCTCTTACTTCAACCTCGTCCATAGGAATAACATGTGACGGATCTGGAACATACTTCCGAAGTTGCGAAACATGGAACACATCATGAAAATTCGAAAGGTTCGGAGGCAACGCCACACGATAAGCCACAACACCAACTCGTGCAATAATCTGATATGGACCAATAAAACGAGGAGTCAACTTCTTCGACTTCAAAGCACGACCCACCCCCGTAACCGGTGTAACTCTCAAGAACACATGGTCGCCTTCTTGAAACTC